CTGGCCCCCTCCCTCCCTGCGCGCCCGCCTCCGGGAGGGACCACGCGTCCGCCCCGCCCCCGGACGGCGGCCGGACCCCTCCTCGGGACGGCTGGTCAGTCCTGGCCTCGGACCCCTGCCCGGTCGCCCTGAAACCTGGCCACTTCCCGACTGGACTGGCGATCCTGGAGAGGGCCCTGGGGTCACTCCCCCTCCTCCCCACTTCTCAGCTGAAGGCGGATGAGGGGCTTTGGGCAGGATGGTCAACACCGGTCTCTTCCAGCAACTGCCTTTAGCAGAGGGGCCTGCAGGGTCGCTGCCAGGGATGTCACTGCAAAGCCATGGCCACATGGCCTGAGGACAGAGCCCAGCAAGAGCCCAAGGATGCCCCACAGTGGGGGCAGAGCCAGCTCCAGCCTGGGCTTTCATCAGGGGCAGCCTGGAAGCCCAGAGGCCAGTGTCGCGCCTGCTCTGGCTGCCCCAGACACTGGGAGCCTGCGGGAGAGTCCGCGTCAACCTGGACAGCAAGGGCAACGCCGAAGTGGCCCCCGCTTCCCCATGGTGACCTGAGGTTTTCCACCCTTACGGGATCCAGGAGGGGGCGCTGGGAAGGCTACTTGGGAGACAGCTGACAGCGGGGAGCAGACAGCGTAGGGAGTCGGGCCCCATCCTTCCAGCAGCCCCTGTGGGCAAAGGGCCTCGGGGTTTGCTGGGTAGCTCGGCCGGACCCACAGGCACTGGACGGTGGTCACGGAGCCCAGCCCCAGGCCTGCCTTTCAGAGGCTGTCTGCGGGGTGTGTGGGTGAGGTCAGCCCCCTTCTCCCGAGGGAAGCGACACAGCACCCAGCTCTCCCTCCTCCGGAGGGACCTGCGTGCGAAGGCCAGGTGGGCACTCGGCAAAGGAGGTGACCAGCAGCACGTTTATTGGACAGTTGCAGTTTCTCTCCTGAGAAGATACAGCCGGGGCTTTATTCAGGTATCTGTACACTCCAGCCAGGCACGGGGCAGGGGCGGGAAGCACAACGGAAAACAGGTATGTTGGGGGAAACGTACTATAAACCATTTTCCTTTTTTGGTTAAAGAAAAAAACTTCATACTCAATACCCCACTCGTGAGTAAAAGTGGGATAAAAAGACTTGACTGCCGTCCCCTGGCCTTCCGCCTCATCCCGTCTGCTCCGGGCAGCGGGCGTGGGCGCAGCCGCCGCGCGCGGGCATCTCGGGAGCGGGGAGCGGGGCGGGCGGGCGGCGGCTCAGTAGAAGCAGACAGTGTGCAGGAAGGCCCGGCCGCTCTTCTCCTCGAACTCCTGCAGCAGCTCGTCGATCTCGTTCTCCATGTCCTCCGTGTGCTGAATCTGCCATCGGAGAGAG